TGTTTTGACATCATGGAAGTGTCCCCACAGGGCGCTCAGGTCCCAGCTCCAGTGTTCCCAGTCTCTGCTGGGACAGAACTCACTCAGAACCAGTGTCTGAACCAGGAAGTCCAATCCATCCAAACACCAGCTCGTTCCAGTGAAACATCGTAGTTCAGTAGTCGTCACAATAAGACTCCTTTTTTTCCATTTTTTGGTAATATTGCCACAACAGTCGGTGCGGCCGGTCGCCTCCAGGATCCTGTGCTTCTAACCAACATGGAGGATTGCTGATCCTGCTGTTTGTTACCCAGTGCACTGAAGAACTACAACATCACAAATGCTCGGCAGACTAAAACCAGAATGTTTATCAGTACACAGAACTGTTCCTGCTAACCTCTCAGACACAAATCAGGACCGCATACTTACCTTTTCTTCTGCAGGGGGGCTCAGCAGCTGGGGGTGGGACAGGTAAGTGATTACCGTCACTTCAACAAGCTGTCTAGCTCACTAACACGCTGAGGTTGCCTGTCGTACCCCCGTAACAGAAGGTTAAACCGGGTACGTGGTCATGGATTCCAAACTAAAGAACGCTGAGGAGATGAGGTGTCTGAGATGCCATTAAAATGTGTTTCTTAACACTAGCAAGGTATTAGTGCCTTTTTAAGAGTTAAAAGATATTTTGATGATTATCGCGATAATATCAGCATTTTGCTATCATCCCAGACCTAGACGGGTACCCAATACAACACAAGTATCAAACACAAGCTGTCTTACTGATGATGTATCAGCTAATGTGGAAGGAAACTCCAGTGTGGACCTGTACAGCAGTCACACACACACACCGCTGAACCTCCACCAATCACAGTCTTCAACCAGGAAATTAAAACTCATCAGTGAGTCGAGACTTAAAGTTCATTCTTCACAAAACAATCTCGCCTCAAGGTCCGTTCAGTTCGGGAGCTTTCAACTGGACTTCTTCATCCTTGGGTGACATTCAACGAGCTCTGAGGACCGAAACTCAGTTGACAGTAAGTAAACCGGAGCTCCAGAACCGGCACCAAGGGAGATTATTGGTCCACTTAGAGATATTCCTCTGATACTGGTACCACGCAACGTAGTTGTTAACGAGTACAATGAACAGCAGTGTACAGGAGTTTTTGCAGTAGTTATTAGCTGGTGTCACCACGTTGAAACTACACGGACCTTGGGGTGGTCCAATTAGAGTTGTTCCGATACCAGCCGGCGAGTACACAGGTCTGATACCATGTAATTGATTAGCCCCGAAATGGGACTCTGCTACATCCAACAATCATAGCAGTTTACGCTCTGTAAAAAATAATAATATACATCTGTTATCTATAACGATCAGAACTCGGTATCGGAACATCTCCATCGGTCCAATCCTGTTCCTGTCCAAAGAATGAACTTTCAATCTCACTTGTTGTTAAAGATACAATCTACAGCAGAATCAGAGTGAGATGAGGCCTTTCTCAATCTGCATCCTTCAGTCCACATTCAGTCCAAATAACTGCTTTTGTTCTGCCCATTTTACCCAGAATGCTTTGGGTGGATTAGATTAATCCATTTTAAAAGCAGAGACCCGGTCATACCAGAATCTAAAACACCAACAGTTTGTGGCAGAATCGGTTTATTCACTCACAGAGTAAACTGGCTCAAACTGACCGAACCATCCAAACCACAGACCGTATTTTAACCAAAAACACACTGACTTCGTTAGCTAAATTGCTAACTCAGTTCGAGGTTTTAGGACTCAATCCTGCGGCGCTCTATATGCCGCCTATGCATCGAATCAATACAGCTGCTAATACAAATATGTAAAGATTAAAATTAATCGTGATAATCTCTCTGGATAGCAGAGGGCGCCGTTTACTTTTGACTCAGAAATATAAAATTATTATTTAATTAAATATATAAAGAAAGTTAAAGAAAACACATTTTGTAGATTTTTGTCAAAGAAATAAAAGAATGTTTCTCATTTTGTTATAAAAATTGAATCCTGACTATATCTGTTACCTGTTAGCCACCAAGCTAAGCTAACAAGCGTATTTTCCCCCTTTATTGACTGAAAAGTTGAACAGAAAGAACTAAATGTTCTCAGGAAGCTGCTCGGAGAGATATTGTGGCTGTGTTCTGGTGTGACCGTTATGCTTTTAGTTTTTATTGGACAGTTTAATGTAAACTTTGTAAAGTGGACTGAATTCTTGGCGTCGTCTGTACTGAGAAAGACCTCCAGTGTTAAATATTTGTACTTTATTTAAAGCCACTGTCGTTAGGTCCCAAAGAGCTTTTTCGTCTTCAGCTCTGCGTTGGAAGTTAAAGGATCCCGGAGGCGACAAATGTTTCTCTCCTCGCACTGAGGTTCTTTGTTTTTTAGAGATTTAGCGTCTTTGCTAACAGTGATGTCACGTTGCCTTTAGTCCAGCTGCTCAGTGATGACATCAAAAGAGAGGCGGAGTCTCCACATCCCCGGCCCCTCCCCTGCCGACTCTCTGCGAGCCAATCAGAGTGCACGGGGGAGGGTGGATCATCTGAAACCCCGCCCGGATACAGGACTGAGCAGAGGGAGCTGATTGGCTGCAGTCTGTGAGTCCAGTTTGAATGTTTGAACGTCCTTCAGCAATCGAGTGTCCAAAAAACGAAGAAAAGAAAAGAACTGGAGGGGAAAAGAAAGGAGACGTGTTTTTATTAAAGTCCATTTTATATGGTAAAAATGTAAAATGTAATAAAATCTGTTCAGACGGGGGCGGCTTTATGACGTCCTATGGCTGGTGACGAATATATCGCCGCCCCCAGCTGGTTTTAGGGATGATTATTTGGCCGATTTTTGTCTTTTTTTTTTTCTGATTTAATGGTGTATTTTCACATCGCACTGCAGTGAATTAAGAGTTCATTTTTACTAGTTTGACGACAGAGAATACTGTAACACAGACAGGAGACAGACAGGAGACAGACAGGAGAGAGACAGACAGGAGACAGACAGACAGACAGGAGACTCTCCATGCTGTTTCCTGTAGGGACTGGGTCATAAATTAACTATAGATAAATATCTATAATACATATTGTGTCTTTATTAGAGTTCTGAAGGCTCATTCACTGGATCCGTTATTTAATCCTTTCTATTAAAACAGACTCACGTGGTCCTCTGAGGCTCCAGTGCTACGTTTGAGACTGGACCCCCGGCTGGCTGCTGGGCTCCGGTCCTCTCTCCTTCAGGGACGGGTTGATCTCCTCCTCGGGGTCGTAGTAGTAAAACTTCCTCAGGTAGGAAATGAGCGGCCTGAACAGAGAGCGAGGGGCAGCATGGGGTAAATATATACTGAAATATATACTGTATAAAATATAAACTGTATAAAATATATACTGTATAAAATATTAAGTAGAGCAAGGTCTTAGACGCGAACTCCGTTTTAACATTTAACAGAGACTCCAACTGTACCAGCCATGAGCAAGCACGCTTGGCGACTGGGCCAAGGAAAAAAACTGCCTTTTAACGGCA